GGTCTCACCAGCAGGTTTACCTGATACACATGTCAATACACAGCCACCACCTTCTTCCTCATATCTTACAGGAACAGTGTACGCGCCGTTCCGTCTTGCCTCGCCATCCGTAAGCAACATGCAAACTGCTATCAAGCTTCGGCCCCATTGTCATTGAGCACCAACCACGGCCCTGCGCAGGAACAACAAGCTTTCTTGCATGGGTACAATGACAGCTGAAACACCTGCTTAGGCCAAGAGTCAGGTATCAACAGCAGAAATACACCGTTGTAGCCCAATTCGAACAAGAGTTTCTAAACGGTGTCTTGCGGGATATTGCCAAGCACGGCGAGATTCGACCGGCATACATGTAGACTTCAGGTGGAGTGAGACTGTTGAGAGTGCAATAGCTAACATCCTCGAACGGACCCAGCAAGGCACAAGTGCACACTAGCCGCCATTGAACGGATATCCGTCAAAATCATATGCACGAATGCACATGACTGCTAACATACGGGCCGACTCAGAGTGACCTGGATAGTCTACTACTACCAGATGTCTGTCTCACCTCCAACAAAGATCGCGGACTCTCTTCGCAGCCATCCCTGTTCCAGGACGCGTGTTAGTCGGCATGCTTGCCACCACCATGTTGCGGCACAGCAGTCCAATATTGCTTTCTTGGCATCGTCTACTGACTTCGACGTCGGCTCTTGCTGAGCCGAAGTTGGAGCCTGCAAGATGTCTCACAATGTAGGCAACCACCATGTTTAGCACTAGTGCGGCCCATGATTTCTCAACGCATAACCTCGGTCATAGATTTCTGTCCGCTTTGTCAGTCAGTGATGTCTGGAAGCTTCGTGGCTATTCTGTAGGTACGTAATGTCTCACTGTCTGCCTTGGACCCAATAGTCTCGAGTGAGCGATATCGCAAGTGTAGCGTATGGGTCGATGTCTCATCCAACGGACCAAACTACACTACGTGGGAGAGGACCTTTGGAAGACGTGGTCTATCAGGTGACCAGCAGGTTTTGAGATACTTCGTGCCATGAGCCACCTTCCTTTTTACGCACTGTGACCCGAAAGAACATGACGCCGTTCATCTCTCTGGCTCAACTGACGCCCATACCGCTTGGATTCGTTTCTCATCATCCTCTTTGAAGGATGCCCGACGTGCCTGACACGATCACTGACGTTTGTTCATCCAATCAATGCTCATACAAAACTTGTTCTCTAGAAGATCAGCTAGGGCAATCACCAGAGAAAGCAGCAGGAAACGATATATGTGTATTTCATATTCATTTCACACAGTAAAGTACAATGGATGCAGTATACTACAAATCCTCCCTGTTTCGTCTTATCTCAACGCCTCAGCCATCCCAGGAAAACCCTTTGCGGGCTTCGCACGTCCTTGAGGGGCCTCGCGCTGCAAAAACTCACTCAACTGCTGACCTTTCTCACTCATCTCATCCAATTCCTTGACCCCACTCTTTCCCACTCCACTGACTATGCTCTCTAGGTCACCGTTATCGATGTTAGCCCTAACAGGTGGCTTGTCATCGAGTTCACCTCTCGCAATCATGACTTCAGGGCCCGTAGCACGATCGAGTTTGATGTGAATACGGCCATCGTTCGTGACGCTGGCGTATCTAGGTTGCACCATGATCTTCTTGCCACCAGGTGTATCGACATCAATTGTCTCGACGTCTTTGGCGTTGGCCATGCTGGCGTTGCGATTGACAGGTGAGTAGTCTATGCCCTTGAATTGATCGTTTGCCACAAAGCCTCCAACTCCGAAGCGGGCGTAAAGCTCGTTCGATGTACCCGTGCGTCTTGCTTGCATGAGACGGGCTGGTATAGGAGTGGGCTTGGCTTGGGGACCGAGAATGGGGTGGTTGGCGATGTAGGAGTAGTGGCGAAGGTAGCCGAGTCCAGCTGAAGGGTGGGTGGAGAGTGGTGCGGTCTCTTGATCGAATTGGAACATCTCGATGTCGCGCTTGGAGGCGTCTTCCTTGAAGGTTGTGTTCTTGAACTTCATGGTCGGTATCCTCAAAAAGGGAACTATCAACTTGCTGACGAGCTTGCTACTCAATGGATCCTTCGCAGCCTCTCTTCGTAGCGCCCTGATGCCAGCTTCAATCTGAGGTTGCGTGATTTGGCGCCAGGCGTTCTCCCGTTGCTCGTGCCATGCCTCAGCTTCTTGGGCATCAATTGGCGGGACCTCACCAGATTTTGTGGCGGCAAGTCGGCGGGTGGCGTAGATCTCGTTCTTGACGTACTCAACTAGGTACTCATTGAACTCCTTCTTGCGGCCTGTAATCTGTTTGTTGAGGTAAGAGACAAATTCTTCGGCGCTCATGCCAGGGAGCCAAGGGCCATCGTGCTTCCACCGCCTGGTGTTGTGAACGACTGGATCCACAGGCGGTGGTCTAAAAGGTGTAAATGGTGCTGCTGCCATTTGCTCCTTCAGTGCTTTCTTTGCTTCCTTCCGCTCGTTCTGGAAGGCGTTGAACTCTTCTAACCAGGGCTTCGTCTCTGATCCTCCTCTAGACGCTTCTTTTCGGAAAGCCTCAAATTCGACAAGGTTGTCAGCCCATCCACGTGCCTTGAAGCTCGCGAGTTTCGATTGCCATTTTTCTCTCCAGGTAGCGTTGAAGGCTTCCCGCTGGGCCTTGGCTCGCTGTGCTGGCATACTCTTCTTGAGCGCCTGCAAGTACAATCCAGCCTCATCTAGTCCCATCTCGGTATCGTAACTCGTAGTATCATCCCGGACCTCAAAGGCCCCAAGTGGTGGTTCGTTCGTTATCTTCGACGTGCTCTTCATCATAGGCATACCCATCTCCTCCCATTTTTGCCTGGTCCGCACATGGTCTGCCGCTGAGTCGAAGTCGGTAACATGTTCGATAGTATCAAGTTGAGTGATCCTCAGTACTGGGTCGCTTGTTTGAACTATGTGACTCCTCGATGGGATTGGCCGCTTGAGACCCCAGTCACCACGTGCTAACGAGGACTTTGTTGTCGCAATGGCTTGGTGGGTCGGGTATGGAAGCGTGGCGGTGTCGGAGGCCTTGGAGATGCCCGCGCCGTAGGTTTCGCTAACAGGCGGCCGTGGGAGCGGGTTCGGCAGCGAGAAAAGGCGGGAATTTCGGAGAAGATTTGCAGTAGGCGAGAGAGACTGGCGGCTTAGAGACATCTTGGCGATGCGACAGCCGCGTGTGGGCGTTCAATGGCGGCTGAAGTGATGATCCCGATGTGTGTATAGTAGAGAAATGTCGATGGAGTTTGCGGCGAGGGGTCCGTGCGAGACTTCCGCGGCTTCTGATGGGCCACAGGCATGGATCACATCACGATGTCAACATTGTCAAAAGTATGAAAATATAGGATTTGTAGACATTAATTTCCGCAGTGGCTAATCTGCGACTATCCATCAAGAGCAGCCTTGCTAAGACATATCCTGAGCCTTCTTGACTTTGCGCTTTGGCAGCAGGGTTTCAAGAATGACTTCTGTTCTACTGAGTGCAAAACGATTCCCACCGTTTTCCAGGCTGGGATCTCTCTCTACAAATGTACTCGGCCAATAGGTTCTATCCTCATGGTCTATCGAATGTGTTTTGCGAGTTGAACGTTTTGTGGTTTTCATGGTAGTCTCATGGACGCGTGCGCACCGATGAGTGGGGACCTTGATACGACAAGACCTTGATCATGGCAGCTCACCCAGGCAGGTGCTTATCCCAATCTTGGTCGTCGTCCTCATCATCGTCGTCTTTTTCTTTGCGGTTGATACGTGGAACGTGCCCTTCGATGGCCATGGTATGGTCAGATGTTTGGGAAGGAAGCGAGGGTGGCTGTGGCGGCGCGCTGCTAGATGAGCGCTCGAGAATCTGGTCTTGGATGAGATCGTTGTTTGCCTTGGTTAGGTTACTTGGTTTCTCCCCCCGTTCGAGCGCCAGATCCTTCATAGCATCCGCTTGAGCAGCCCAGGCTGCATCCAGGTCTGCGTCTTCGTCTACATGGGCCGTGGTCGCGCTTTCCTGCTTCAGACGTAACGGTAGAGCCTTCTGGTGTTCATCGGCATTGTCCACCATGAGCTCAATCTTGTCGCCGTATCCCCCGTGCCGCATCCACGCAGGCTCTTCGTTCAGCTGCACCTTGACGTAGAGTGCGCGTCTTGCGCAGTCGTCTGAACACCACACCTCTAGCACCTTTCTGTCTACTATCTGCACACCGTGGTCTGTGTCAACAAACTGCTTCCTTGCAGTGGATCGCGCCTTCTTCTTTGGTTTTGGGCAAAGCGCATAGCCACACTTGTCGGCGATGTTGCGCTCCTCGATGAGAGCATCATAGTCGGCAGGCTGAAAGGGAATGACGGCCTTTTGAAAGAAGTGCGCATCTGAGGGTGATGGTCGCTTAGCATCTGCATCGGGCGAGGTGGGATAGTCCATCAGTGTCATGACAGCCTCGAGCACCTCTGCCTCGACGCGCTTGCGATCTTCAAGTACCGTCGCATGGTGGCGGGCGACTGCAAGGTGGCGCGGGTTCACGGGTTTCTTCGCAGGGGGCCCGTTTGTGGAGACAGTCGTGTTCTTGAGTATGGACTTGGGCGGCATGTCGGGTGTCTGTTGGTGTTGGGATCGTCGTGGCTAGAGTGTGAAGTGGAACCTCTTTGGGCGTGCCTTGGCGGAGCGTCGGGGGACTTGGGCGGGGCTGTTTCGAGCTTCGTCACCACACTTCTTCGCACGGAGGCACCTGCAGCAGCCCTCATCCTTCCCACTACCCCTCGCCCCGAGCTGTGAGGGTGCAAGCATTGAATGGTACGTCGTGACTTTGTTCCGCGCCTCCCGCATTGCTGCACATGCTGACATCCGCGTCATCGCAGCTCCACGTCCGAGACCCGCCGTGCACAACGCCCTAGAGAGCTCCCACACAATCTTGCCCAAGCGCTGTTAGGCAGGGACCGCAGCTGTCACCCCCCATTGAGCATCCTGCAGCTGGAACGACTGCATCCACCACTGTAGCCCGTCGCCATGTACAAAGTCAAGGCCGTCTACGACTACGCGTCCCCCCACGAAGATGATTTGGGCTTCAAGGTCGGCCAGATAATCTCCGTAACCGAGGAGGAGGGTGACGACTGGTATGTGGGTGAATACACCGACGAGAGCGGCACCAAGCACGATGGCCTCTTCCCCAGGAACTTCGTCGAGCGCTACGAGCCAGAGCCGCCGCCACGGCCCAACCGAGCATCGCGGCACAAGCCCTTAGAGCAGCCGCCTGTGCAAGAAGCTCCCCCCATGCCCCAGGCCTCTCAGCAGGAACCAGAGCCAGTTCAACCTCAGGAGCCGGAGCCACCCAAGCCACAGCCTCCCCCCATAGAGGTGCCCCAAGCTGCCAAAACAACACCGTTGCCCATGTCGCCCATGTCGCCCCGCTCTGCGTCGAGCGCGAAGGCCCAAGAAGCCCTACCGCCGCAGTCAGAGTCGCCCAAGCCAGCTCCTCCTGCGAAGAAGGCCCCGCCACCTGTCGCCGCCAAGAACAATGCTTTCCTGAGCCGTATCGCCGCTTTCAACAAGACAAGTGAGCCTCCGCCTAAACCTATCAAGCCAGCTGGCGTCGCCCCGAGCTTTGTCAAGAAGCCATTTGTGGCTCCGCCGCCGAGTCGGAATGCCTACGTTCCTCCTACCCGAGAGTCGGCAGCTCCACCAGTCAAGACGTACCGTCGTGAGGAGGATCCCGAGATTGCAGAGCGCCAGGCGCAGAATCAGAACGATGCAGAGCGTGCGGGACTGGTTGCTCATGATTCTCAGAAAACAAATGAAGGCGAAGAAGAGCAGCAGCCCAAGATGAGTCTGAAAGAGCGCATTGCTCTTCTTCAGAAACAACAGCAGGAACAGGCAGAAAGGATGGCAGCTGCGCACAAGGAGAAGCCGAAGCCTAAACCGCCAGTAGTCAGGAGAACCGAGTCCCAAGACGCCCACGCTGAAGACAGCGAAGACACTGGTCTAGAGCGCGTGACAAGTGGAGCGTCCAAGGGTCGTGCGTCCATGGACCAGAGTCGACCTCCGCGGGCATCTCACGACATTCGGTCTCCGGACTCGGAAGCCCGCAATCGCGAACTACTTAGCGAAAACGATGCCGATCAATCCGCCGCCGGAGACACCGAGGATGCTGGAGGAGAGTCCACAAGTGTCGAAGAGGATGAGGATCGACCAAAGAGCAGGCACCCGCCGCCGCCACCCCCTAGAGCACCTAATGCTCCTGCCGAAGAGCCCAACGTTGGCGACGAGCAAGATGTGCCCGGAGAAGAGGAGGAAGAGGAGGAGGAAGATGAGGAGACCGCAGAGCTGAGACGTAAAGAGGAGCTACGTGAGCGCATGAGGAGATTGGGTGGCGGCATGGGCGGCATACCCATGTTTGGCGGTCCTATGCCCATGGGCGGTCTTCCACCAAAACCACCAAAGAAGAAGTCGACCACTGAGAAGAAACCCGAAGACGCCGAACAGTACAGCATGCCCCAGCAACGTGTGCCTATGTTTGGGTTTGGTATGCCTGGCATGGCACCCGTCAAAAGCCCAGAGCCGGAAGACCGCTCGCTTTCCGTCGAAAAGGAAGACGAGACCTCGCACCCTGTGACCAGCGCTCATCCAGCGGACGAGGTACCTGATGTAGAGGACGTCGCATCTCAGCCAACTCAACAAACATCTACTGGCAGTGGCGCCCCACCTGTCCCAACAGACCGTAAGTTCTTGATTCCTCGCAAACCAATCCACGCTTTCGTACGCCATACCCAAGACTGCCTGCAGCCACCATCTTCCGAGACCTTGTCAAAGACCTATGTCACTTACGACGGTCTATCGGAATATGTTATGACTGTATGCGTGTCTAGTATGTGTGTGCATAATGCTGTAGTTTGCGTTCTTATTGATACTGTACTGACAATCCTTAGGACGACCTGCTCCTCCTCCGGTGCCAGCAGCGTGTAAGTCACGTCGCGTTATGATGCTCAAGCTTATACTGACAATACATAGCTCGACCAGTGCCACCACCCCCTCCTCAGATTCTCTCTCCTGGACCCGGATCTGAGTCTGGCGATGAAATGACAGACACTGCTAACACACCGTCTGCTCCAATGCAAGCACCCAACAAGCGACTCTCATATTTTGCTTCCGGTGAGCCATCACAAGACCCATTAGAGAGGCGTGCGCCACCTATCCCGTCTGCCGGTCCCGGATCTCCTACAACAAGCCGGCCACCTCCACCACCTCCACCAGCACAAGCGCCCCCTTCGCGTCATGAAGATCTGCCAATCCGCAGAATTGACCGCAACGAGGGTGAAACCGACTACGAAGGTGATTATGACACGGACATGGCACCAGAGGCAACCCATAAAGATGCTTTGAAGTCACATGCTAGGGATTCAAGTGTAGAGGACAGCGCCTTAACAGACGAGCCAACATCAGCACGATCGCCCACAATTCCCCACGGCATGCCACCTCTTCCCCCTACTGCGCCTCGTGCAGTACCGCCTCCTCCACCCCAGCAGGCGCCCAGCCGGCCATCAACAGATGCACCACGTGGTGCTCCTCCTCTTCCCCCGGTACCGCCGCCGACTCGCAACGCCCCTATGGACGACGATGACGACGAGTATGATCCGTACAAGTATTCCGGACCACCTCCTCCACAGGCTGCGGCACCTGCAGCTCCTAGAGCAGTTCCACCACCCCCACAAAGTCAGCCGCCTCCCCCACAGAGTCGTCCACCGCCACCAATGCCACCATCGATGCCTCCCATGCCCCAGCGTCAACAATCAGACGATGAGGACGATTTGTACTCTTCGCCTGCGCCTCGGAAGTCTCACGACAGACCGCCACCTCCACCGCCTCAGGCCCCGCCGCACCAGCATGCACCTCCACCTCTTCCACACATGCAGGCTCCACCTCCCCCAGCTCAAGAAAGAATGGCACCACCTCCACCCCAAGAGCGTCCTGTTTCAATGTTCTCACCAGTTGCAACAGAGGCACCACCTCGGATATTGAACACTCGAAAGTCACTCGATGCTGTCCAGATGCTTACAACTCGCTCCTCCATGGATCAGACCCGTCCGACAACGAACCAAGGTTTCATTGCAAGTGATATCGATTTGGGGGTTTCTTCGCATTGGTGGACTCAACCCAAACTGCTCCCTCCTTCACTGCAGGGTCGTAAAGACGTCCTGGTAGACATGAAGGAGTCGCAGTCAGGCAACACTGTAGAGAAACTCATCAAGGTTCTTTACCTTGACTATTCACAGACAATCATTTCCGCTCGCTTCGAGGTCACCAATGTCTCCGACGTTGACCTGGAGCAGCGCAATGAGCCGCCACCTCCCAGCCAACGACCAGACCAGCTAGAGAACGCGTACGAACAGTATGGTCGCTCGATAGCCAAGACCATCGAGTCAAAACAGAACACTGTTGTCGGCAACGGCACGCCGCACGGTCTGGTTGATGAGCTGTTGAAGCCCTTCAATGACGCATTGCCTCCGATCTCGACCCGTTCGTATGGTGCGCTCGTTTACGCGAACTTGGCCAACGCGTCCACTCAATCTTACGATGAGATCCGCCCTGGTGACATCATCAGCTTCCGCAACGCCAAGTTTCAGGGTAAGACTGGACCAATGCATGCCAAGTACGCAATGGATGTAGGGAAGCCAGATCACGTGGGTGTTGTTGTCGAGTGGGACGGTAGCAAGAAGAAGGTGCGGGCTTGGGAGCAAGGACGCGAGCACAAGAAGGTTAAGCCTGAGAGCTTCAAGATGGGAGATTTGAGATCAGGTGAGGTGCGGGTATGGCGTGTAATGAGTAAGAATTGGGTTGGTTGGAACTGATGGAGCGGAGAGTCGTTTGTAGGTGTGCGAGTGTAGAATTGTAATTAGAACCTAGTTTTGTGTCTGTGCTACCTACCTAGCTCCTGTAGAACTTCCCCCGTCAACACCGTCAAGTACATAAATCTATCTCAATACATCGGAACCTTTTTACCATCGTCCACATCGCAAACCACAACAAGAATTCAGAGTCAGCACGAGGCATGTGAGCTTCAAATTGATACAGATACTGCGCCCACTCTTAGTGCATCATCCGGTTTGTCCGAACCGTTCTTGCTAACGACTTCTTTGTTACGGAGTACGTCACCTCCTTACTCAACAAGAAACAGATCCAGCTGGAACAATCTGCGATGTCAAACTATCGCTTGAAATGTAGTACCGATGTTTGCCTCAACACAAAGCAGGGAGCGATAGTGGAAAGTTAATCAGAGTATAAAGATGAACCGTAGGTCGGCTCGGTAGGTTGTGTCTCTTAATCACGATTACACACTTAAGATAAGTATCACAACTGATCGAAGAAAGACGTGAGTAGCCAATTCGAAGATATGAGTGACAAATCAGGAAGTGGAAGAGACCGAAACAGTGAGATGCCTGCAGAAAAGAAGGGGAAAGCCGAGAGAGAAGCGATCTTGAAGGCCAAACTCGCAGAGACCTTACGACTTGCTCAAAGGCTATTGAACGAACTCAGTAACGATGACGATGCACCAGAACCGGCGGAGATCTTAGAAACCACAGGTAGCGATCTGATCGGCCAAGAGGATGAGGAAGATGATCTATTTAAGCAGAGTACAACGGGTGAATCAGAGTTGTCTAGGAACAAGGGAAATAGTGGCAAAGCGAATATGGGCGAGCCAACCAATACCACTTCACATGCGCATCACGAGAAACAAAACCTGGAGGTTCCATCTGATCTCACAGTTACAGAAGCGACTTTGACTGAGAAAGTTGGCGTAGCTTTCGACAAAAAATATCGATGTATCGCACGCAGGAAAAAGTCGAACAAGAGTAACGTGGAGATGTTAGTCCTGGCTGATGAACTTCAATGGCTTAGGAGAACTGTTGTTCGGCCCGACCTCCCGGAGGCTTTCGAAGATTATAAAAGAGCTAAAGAAGCAGGAGAATTTAGGAAAGTAGCGATACCGAGGTGGCACGAGGTCCAGGTACTCGAGAGCGTCATTTTGGATACTGACGTGAACTCTGGGGAGGATGACGGCAGTGATGATGGCACTCCCGGAGACGAAAAGGATGAACCCGTACTACTAGACAGCGGAGATGACACGCAGGCTGGAGTAGATGAGCAAAATAGCTTAGTAGCAGATGCAGAAACTCAGACAGAGCCTGATCAGGCTGCACTAGACGACGCTGAATCTAGTAGCAGCGCAGAGTCTCAAAGCTCTGAACAGCAACGTGTCTCGAAAAAGGACGTAGCAGCTACGGAAGAAAAGAATAGAAAGATTCTTAGAAAGAATGTTCAGGGAGAGGCAGCAGAGAGAACATCAAAGTCTCAAAAGGACAACAAGAGAGGCTCCGCCGCGCCGGCCAGTATGCAACCACCAGCGAAGAAGCCAAAGTCTGCGAAGACCGCAAAACATGCTGAAAATCCGGGTGAGGATGACATGGAGGGTATAGTCGATGCGGACCCAGAACAGACATAGAACTAGTCTTCGTGACCACTCGTAGTGGCTGACGCTCGTCGTCCATCTAGCCAAACCAGCTGCCTTTAGACCGTTTGCTAGACACTTGAAACTGCAACAACTATCTCGCTCTTTCGTACGAATCAAGGGGTAATATGATGTCATAGACGTTATGTTCCTGAGCATGCCTGTTTAGAGCTGCTGATACTTCACCACCATGGTTTGTGTAATATCTCAGCATTTGATCCCGTTGAACACTGAAATTTTCGCGGTACTTTTCATGCAAAGTTCGTAGCTTCAAGTATCGTTTCCTCGTACTAAGCTGCTACCTTCGAGTTTGATCAAGCCACTCGTGCCGTATAGCAAGCTTGAAATGATCAGCACTGGTGATATGCGATGTGATTGCTTGCACAACTAGCAATATTACAAGTAGGAAAGAGCGTCGCGCAGAAGCCCAAATTCATTCGTCACTACCTCCTTGAATCACACCTGACATATCAGACACGACATGTCGGACAATGACCCAGAACCAACGAAGTCCAGCAGAAGTGATGAGCTGCAACTCAAGTCTGAGACAACCACGATCAAGCCGGACGAGAGTACAGCCTCAGACCGCCATGACGAGATTAGAGTGCCTGCCGACATAGCAAAACTCTGGTTGAAAGATTCAATGCCGAACAACAACGATACAGAGGTGATTGGAGACATCATAGCTGTAAGAAGACGGGGTGGTCCACACACAAATTACAACTACCTGTTGACATCATCGATAAGAAAGCCTTCCAGTACTGAGGGAGAAAATTCGGAAGCTACCAACGACTTACTAGAATCAGGGACCTGGTATTGGCCAAGTCGCGTTACACGAGAGGCGAAGAAAACCTGGAATGGCCTAGAGAACACAGTTTCTATGCTAGAGCTGAACCTGGACATCAAAAGTGATCTGAATCGATTTAGTGTGTTCTTAGTTCGCATCGATTCTGAAAAGGTAAATCCACTCTATGGGGTTGCTAACTGGGAATGGGAAGCAGTTGGAAAACCTCTAGACATCATAAGATTTCACGCAAAAACGAAGACCGCTGCTATTGCACTTCCAGAAGTAACAGTGGGCAAAGCTGTTGCTGATAGAGAGTCCAGTACATTATCTGAGAAGCAAATGCTTGAGGCAATTTTGCGACGAGCGAAGAATTCGTCCGGCTGGTCCATTTGCGGAAAGAACGACTATGGCATCTATGATCAGGAAGACTACCAGAAGGCAAGAGCACTTTCTCTTAAGACAGCAGCTGAAGTACTTAAAGCTGCCTTCAATCACCACAAGGAACCATGTAACTTGACCGAGAAGCAAGGAGATGTTCTCAGTAGCATCAGACTGCACTTTGTGGGACGCGTCGATCCTCTTTCCCCTCCTTCGAGATCAAGCGACATCGCGCGAGAGGGACCCGAGATATTTCCAACGCTGATGTTCAAAAATTTCTTTGATGATTTACAAGGCTGGAGTGCCGAGAACTTGCTTGGCCTAAGCCAGACAGAGCGGAAAGGCTTCGTCAACTCACTCGTACGCCAAGCGCCTCACATGTTACAGGGACGCCATGGAGTTTTACCCCTTGTACTTGTTCTTGGGTCGGAGGAAGGCCTCGGAAGGGAGCTCCACGCATGCAACATTCAGGTCGAAAATAAGTGGTATGAACGCTCTCATCGGGAAATTCTTCTCATGCTCAGCACGTCGCTGAAAGACGAATTTCCGGAACTAGAGGTTTCGGAGATCCATGCTACGTGGGAAAGTCTGAAGCGAATAATTCAGGCGAACGATAACGAACAGAATGCAGCAATTATCTAGAGACAGTGTCGAATAGAGGCGTGAGGGAGGCCAGTATGACAAAGAAACTAGACCTGAGGACCTTCAGCTAACGCTGGTGTATCTGCAAGGTAAGGTAGCTATAATAGATACGGAAATATCGATGACATAAAAGACCAAGATGACTCTTGTGCATACGAGGCCCTGTTGACGTCTGTGCAACCATGTATCGAATCTGCATCTTCCCCTCCGTACTCGAATCTATAACCCAAATGTATAATCTGTGGATCTGCAAGGACGTCTTTCTTACTACCTGGGTTACTGGGCGCGTGCCGAACTCGTCTCCCTCTCCGTATTGTTCCCAGTCGCCTATCAAGCGTGCTCCTCTAATCTTGACCCCTTCCCGTTCGACAGCCTATTTGCTAGTATCTTTTCTTGGTACGGAGAAGCTTCGCGAAGCCAGATTGATACGTGGAGATATCGACGACGGAGATGACCAGCAGGCTACTGAAAATGAGCGCGTGCTGGGAACGACAGAGGCAGATGCGACGTAGGTATCTTCGCACACCTGCGTCCAACAGGCGTGCGGTTGGTCGAAGTATCAGTCCTCGTGGCTGTAGTCATAGGCATTTCGCGTCCTGCTCATATCGATGTGGTAAACCCTGGATTGGCTCAACTGGAAGAAGTTGTTTCCTGGAAGAGAGTAGGTCGATGCTGTATGCTGGTAGCCGGCATCAAAAAGATATTACCCTCGACATCGCGACAGCCTGTTGCTATCTATCGAATTCTGCGGGTATGCTTGTGCTATCTGGGCTTGTTACTCTCAACTCTTTAGCTTTTCTGACCATCTCGCGTCAAGCTGGTTTCCAGAGGGCGAGCGCAATTCACACCCTGGGTAACAATAACACACGTACGAGGGCGCTGCTGGTCTATCGGGTTGTACGAAAGGGCTGACTGAGATGATGTTGGATGAAGGTTGGTGTGTCATCCGGAAAAGCAGCCGCACTATTGTTATGCGCTTACTAGCTTCAGGAAAAGCACCTCGACGAATCGATGACGCGGTAACTCCTTTTGCTCAGGACGCCATTCTTCCCATCGTAGACGCACCCGAACAGACATTTCAGCCGCGGAGCCTTATCATGGCGCGACAGCACCAAACGCGCAATAAAACGCCAAGTTGACTTCGCGTACATGGCGAGGCGCTGAAGGTGGGTCAAGGGGCGGCTGCAGAAGATCGTCGCCTCTTTATCGTTAAATCCATGCAAACTCCGGGAATAATTACATATCCACGGATCCAAGTTGGACATGATACAAATACTCGGCCTTCCGTCATTGTAGCCAAGAATCCGTCTCGCCGACTCTCAAACTTCTCCGATCGCTATGGCAGACTCCAACATAGGCCCTCAGCATACACCAGTATTGCCGCAGTCTCAAATGCCTCCAGAACAGACACCAGCTGCAAGAGAGGATGATTACGGAAAGAGCGAGGAAGATACGACACATGACTTGGAGAAAGCTTCAAGCAGCACCGTGCCACCTCCGACAGATACGGAGTCCTTCGTAGAGTTCGATGGACCCAACGACCCTGACAATCCAAAGAATTGGACGCCAAAGCGGAGATGGGGGATCACTATCTCTATGGGCCTCATGGTTTTCACAGTCACATTTGCCAGCTCGATATTCAGTGTCAACATCGGTGTTGTCCAAGAGAAGTTCAATGTTGAACTGGTCACAGCTACCCTTGGCGTAGCATTATTCGTCCTGGTACGTTGAGCAACTCCTCAGCGATCGGCTACCCAGTAGCTAACACAGAGCTACAGGGTTTCGTATTCGGTCCAATTGCCTTTGGACCCATGTCAGAAGTGCTTGGCCGGAAGCCTCCCTTGATGTTTGGCTTTGCACTGTTTGCTATCTTCCAGATCCCAGTAGCACTCGCGCAGAACATTACAACGGTATGCGTCGGTCGATTCCTGGGTGGATTCTTCGCCTCTGCGCCTCTGGCAGTCGTTGGTGGAGCTCTTGCAGACTTGTGGGATCCCATCCCTAGGTCTTATGCCATCTGTGTCTTCGCTGCCGGCGGATTTGCCGGCCCCGTAGCAGGCCCCATTGCTGGTGGCTTCATTACGGAATCACACCTTGGATGGCGGTGGACGTCGTGGATCACCCTGATCATGGCCGGTCTGTTCGGAGGCATCGGCTTCTTCGTCGTTCCGGAAACGTCAGCCGCCAGGATACTGCAACTGCGAGCTGCCAGGTTACGAAGGGAGACGGGTAACGACAAGTACCACGCTGCAGCAGACGAGAACAAATTGACAGTCGATAAGGTTGTCAATGTCTATCTATTGAGGCCATTCATCATGTTCATCCAGGAACCAATCTTAGCACTTGTGACAGCCTACATGAGCTTTTTATACGGCATCGTCTACCTACTATTTGAAGCAGTAAGTGTTCATCCCTATAATCCTCGATAACAAGGCCTGACAAGTGACAGTTCCCGGTGTCGTTCCACGAAGAACGAGGATGGTCTTTGGGTGTATCGCAGCTGCCATTTGGTGCCTTCATCGTTGGCATTCTGCTGGGTGCTGGCTGCATCGCTTATAGCTCCGCCACAAACTTTACTCGCGCATTCCACAAGCACGGCAGGGTTATTCCGGAGGAGCGTTTACCACCTATGATTTTAGGGGCAATTGCACTCCCTGCCGGTCTATTCTGGTTCGCCTGGACTAGCAGTCCCGACATCACCTGGGTGCCACAAGTGCTCTCGGTTGCTCTCCTCGGTTTTGGCTGCATGGTGCCGTTCTGGCAAGGTATGAGCTACCTCATCGACTGCTATGGCTTCTATTCCAACAGTGCCATCGCGGTCAATACCTTCATTCGCTCTTTCGCAGGCGCGTTCTTCCCACTGTTTACGCATGCCATGTACCACAACCTTGGTGTACCTTGGGCGAGTAGTCTTTTGGCGTTCATCTGCGTAGTCTTCCTTCCTGTTCCCATTCTTTTCTACATCTACGGTGCACGAATAAGGAAGAAGAGCAAATGGGCACCAACAGCATAAGAAGTTAGGAATTGAGCATTGTTCGTGGCCAGCGGTCGAGCGCTTTACACATGGGTATCCATTTCTCAACCACTTGTCATTTCCAAGAATTCCATTCATACATTCATTTCCTTTGGTCTCTGCCTGCATTGGTTCATCCAAACTTGGGGGCCCATCCGTGGAATCCAGCGAGATTTCCTTCAGCCATTCTCTTAACGCGCTCGAGTCGCTCGACTGGTCCCAAACCCCTCAACTCCTCCCAGTCCAGGTCGCCGAACAACTGTGTCAATGTCGCGAAGGCAAAGGCCCAGTATCCGCCTGCTGCACGTGCTGCTTCATACTCCACCGAGCATCTAATCTTCTGCGAAGGAAAAACCCAACCACGACGCCAGTCCACGCGTCCAACATACCACTCTTGGCATGTTTGAAGCCAAGTCGATGATTCCCAAAGATATTGCCTCAAGGTGCCATCCATGATCATCTGTCTGCCATCGCCCGTCTCGACGTACAGCACGGAGTGCATTAGCACCATAGGCTGATTCGGATTACTGCGCCAGGTCAAGATGCGGTCGATCTTTGGCCAATATGTCAACCACTGGGCACGTCCGTTGAATAGCTTCCTGACCAGTCTGTTCACTTCCTCCTCTAGAACAAGACTGAACCAGTCGCACATGTTAAAGCGCGAGAGTGCGTCGTTCAACCACGGTGGCAGGAAGGTGCAGCGGCTGAGGTCTTCGGGGTCAGGCGGGGCGAACACTAGGTCTTCTATCGACCAAATCTTCCAGATCGGGACTGGGACCGAAGGATCGTGAAACTCAATCGCGTATGCGGGGATGGCCTTTGGGGCAGTATCGGCGGCGGCGTGGAAGCAGACGAGGAGTACTTGCAAGACCTCTTCCAGGGATAGGCGGGTTGCGTTTATGGTAGATGCAGCTGACACCATGATGGGTTTATGAGCAAGAGAACGACTTCTGCTCAAGAATGTGTTGTCCTGGTGGTTGTAAGAGTATAGAGGGACGGCGACGATTCATCTTGAAATCAGGCGCTAGTGGTAAGTCAGTGCACCCTTGTAAACTTGGGAGCGGCTTCACTAACTATTCCACTAAGCTGTGATCTCAAGGAAACTGTTTCTTGTTGTCTTTGAAAATACAGGCAGTATAGTGTCATTGACGAGGTCACAAAGACCTGTCCTACTGTGCCACTGCCTCCTCATATGCACCCGCAAAATTGGCCCTGCTCAGAGTGCGAATCTGCGCCTCAATTTCATCTTCCGCACATCCACGCAGAGAATGCCAGTCCACTTGCTCAAATATCTGCTCCATACGCCTGCTCGCGACAGCCCAATATCCATACTCGTTGTTCATGCTCAGCGCCTCCGCACGAATAATCTGGTCTCCTCCAAAGTATTCTTCCAAATACGGAGCTTGGCTCAGATCCATATGGCTTTCCACAAGCTCATCCTTTGTCATGAGCCAATGTGTCACCCAATTCCATCCGTATTGATCGATAGTACCATCGAAGATGTACTCTTCACCGTGACCGTCGTTTATCAACAAGACTGAGTGACCAGGTGGGTTGTGAAAACCTCGCAGGTCTGAGACGAGAAGAATGTATGGTATGGCACGAAAACGTCTCCACTCAGTCGCGTTGCTGAGGCCGAGAAGCTCTGTGAATGATCGGTCAGTTATCCACGGCGCAAAACCTGTAGTACGTCGCAAGAGCTTACTTTCCAGATGTTATTCTACGAAAGGCTGCATGATCGCACAGAATGTGTCGCATCTCATCCTCATGATGTAAGCGCGATATATATAGCTTGTCTTGATTCGTGACATGTCGGGGAGCCTCGGTGTGAAATCTCCGCTCGATGAAAGGACGGCTATCGAATAGGACTCCGAATAGAATGTGTCGCAGATGATATCCAACCACCTGAAAATCTCGTACCCGTAGACATGGTAACCAAAGACCGCTTCTTGGAATACGATGAGGTGTACAAGAAGGATCTGGCGAAGGGTAAGGGGCGGGGGAGGTGGGGTGACTGGCATGCCGGCTACACACGGGTTGGTGGCCATGAGTTGAGGAGAAGATATGAAAGTCACTTGAAAGAATGGTGTAGCAAGATTTGCTGTCATTTGTGCTCGCAGCGTGGGCGTTTGGATGTTGTTACTAGCGCGGAAGTGCGTGCGCTTTGCTCCTCCAAAACGCTCGATCTATTCAAGTCGCTCACCCAAACTTGGCGTCTTGGTCACAGTCTTCTGTAAAATTGTCTAGAGAAGACTCCAATCACGACAATATGGAAGACTGGGTCGGCCAGAAGCACACCTTGGAGGCCGCACTGATCGACTGCTCAAAACACTACAGCGGAAACCCCCCAGGGAAACAAAGGTCAGCCAACTTTAGGATTACTTCATCAGCTAGGGATCTAAGACACCAATAGTAGGTCTTCGAGCGATGATAGCTATACCAGACGGGGATTGGGAAGCTCGAAATTGACAATCCGACTGCCCTTGCAGCGATCGAAGAAGCTCGTCGTATAGAGCCAAAGGATGAGAACCATTTCGGATCGCTTCGTACTAAGGCGACTCCCCACCTCAAGAAAGATTGCAGTACCCGAATATACAGTGTGGCTGCATACATGTACCACTATACCTCTCACGCTGCGAACGACGTCGACCCGAGCGACGACAAAGACATGCTTTTGATCGGCCCAGCCAAGGACATTGCGTTCAATTGCTTGCTAGCCACGCTTTACAACCTCATACATGCGCCACATATCCAAAGAGCGACAGTCCCTTTCTTCCCCTCGCCCTCGTTTCCAAAAGACAGCCATCACCGAGGCGCTACTAGCTGCCACCAGCGTAGAGCTCACTGAGTAGGATCTCAGCGACATGACGGTGCGCGAATTGGAGCTGCTTCAGATACAACATAAAGAGAATGGCTGAGCTCAGACTTTCGAAACCTCCACGATAGTATAACAACAGGTGGCACTCAGACGTGGCTGCGGACCATAATGGATGCATGGACGTCTGTAAGTATCATAACGACAGTTTGGAAGAATGGAACCTTCTGATAGAGGATAGGGCGCAGTTGATGTACGTACAATTAGATCACTTAGGAAGTCGCGAATTGACATATCTTAGGCTACAGTATCTCTACATCCCACTAGCCTGTCGCTTCCTCGGTATTCATCATTACAACCTACCTACGGCATCTAAGAACGACTGTAATACTGTTTACCTCTTAGCATTACGTCGAGAGGGTTCGAGGTGCACGACTGGCTAGCGCGCATGCTTGGAGACTGTCGGACGAGCGCAAGAACGTGGGGGCTCATACGTTTGGTGGGATACAATGGCTTGGTGGCTCTGAATACGTCCGTGTCGAAGCATATGTCTCCAGCAAGCTATACTCCTGGAATGGCGCTATACGATATGTAGTGCGCTGCCGGCAGCAAGTCATGTGGCAGCTAACTGAACTGGTGCTTTCTTTAGCAGCAATACGACTACTGGGTCAAAAAGATCAGAAACATGGCATGCTTCCCGTTTATGATTGTTTCTACCAAAAGCTAGGTCTGTGACCGGTCTGCACCAAGAGCAATCCTATAGTGTGATCCTAATATAAACGCAACGAATATATGATTCAGCATAAAGGTGGGAACCGTACTGAACCGTATCATACAGTTCATGTACAATTCTTCGTGTGCCATGGTTATCTATTTGTGAATGGGGTATTTGCATGTCATCTGAACAAGCAAACTCGTTGGCAGGCCAAAAAGCGCTGACGCGCAGTTATTGTCCTCACTGACCCAGTGAACACCATATGCTGGTTCAGATAGCATCTTGACATCGCTGAAGCTGTGACAGATCCTAGGTAAACCAGTTCGATTGTCAAAAAGCACAAGAGTTCGACGTGCATACAGCTTTGGTCCATTATTCACCCCCACGAAGGCCACGACCAATCTGCTACCCTACTATACCAACAGCTACCACTCGGCCATATAATATGACTATATAATACTATTAAAGAGTCTGCATCTCACCACTACTAGGCTTAACCAGAAGTGTGTACTATGTACTCTGTTTGGTCAACGCGTTCCGCGCCCTGCGTTTCCTAAAGAACTCGCTAATTTGATCTTTCACAGTGCGAATCTCCAAGGAGTATAAAGCCGCGCCGTGGTATCTTTTTTTGCTTCGATCACTGGCAGTGACAGGGACATAGAGTGAATCTTTTTGCTTTTCAGGGTCACTTGTGAGACTTGTTTGGCTGGTATGCGGAGATTGGCCAGGTGACAGTGCGGACAATGACGCGTTCCCCATCACAACATGGGCCAGGAAAACTGGTAGATCTCCGAAAACACAACCGAGTATAATAGAAAGAACCTCACCGCCCTTTTGTGGTTGTGTTCCGACGAACTTAGCAGATTCGCGGATTGATAGCATATCTGCAATATTTCAAACTCGAAGTTCACTGCCTTCGCTTCGCATCGTCTGCGCTCGACTCAATGAAGAGTCTCAAGTTTTCTGCTGCAAGATTGTTTCCAGAAGCAGATCGTTGTACCCGGTATCTCTTTGGCACTCGATTATCCTGCCGTGGTTACATAGACCACCAAGGCGCCAAGTGATAAGTTGTGGTGGTCGTCCAGCTCATCTACATAAGCCATACAGAGCATTTCTGCAAGGACAATCTTAGACTTGCTACCTATCCTCGTCGGAATGATTTGCCCATCTTTTTTCCGATCTACACACTCGTTGTATAAGTCTGTTGCGTTGTTGACCCTCTGAAGACTTGCGCATTCGGCCATTGAACATCAGCACCCTTTCAGATGGGCATCTAAGGTGTTTGTAGTCGGCGAATGTAATGATATATCAGCCCTTGTATCCCTTTTATTCCTGTACATGAGAGTAGGTGAACGTGAAGAAGATGGTCGGCCGGTTTCGCAGCAGAGCGAGGGGAGGTCCAGTCGCTGGAAGATCAAAACACCAGGGTCGATATCTCTCCTTCACCTCCGACACATGCCGCACACACAGCCAGTTCTCTTGACCTCAAGACACCTTCCAATCTCGAAGATATTGCACTTCAACGCCCCCTTTGTCGCTACCTTGTCTATCCCACCCGAACACGACAAACACATTCGTCTCAGCATGAGCAATCCGCAAGCCACGCTACAGAGACATGCTCTCAACCGCATATCAACGTTCATGGTTGTAATCTTCACCCTCATCACGAGAGTGGTTGATTCCCGTGTACTGTTGCGCAAAGAGACAGTCGGTAATGAACTGCATCTGTTCTTCTGCCACAAAGAAGACTTCGGCGATCAATTTGTTGCTCAAGAAACCGGATACACCTCCATTGAGGCAGAGGAAGCTATGGAATCCCACAATTATTGCGTCTTCGTGTGCAAGGTCTTTGCTGGTATGCTGGCTTGGTTGATCGAGGGTGCGCCAAGTTCCAGTCGCATACAGTAAATCCTGACCGCTAACAAGACGCCATCTAGAGCTCCACCTTCCAATCACAGTCGATGAAGCAGACTTGAACGAGGTCTTCGAAGTCCAGCCTGTCGTTTGCATCGATGTCATTACCTGGGAACGGAGAAGAGTCGCACCCGTTCACACAATGTTCAAGATCCTCTCCTCGGACGCCTACCCAAAATCAGACGGACTCGTTGAGGAAGAGGGATTGTACATCGATGCTTCAGCGCCTCAATACCTCCGCACGGCTGGACTATACGCCGTCTGCAGTTATCCTGCACGACCACAATCCTCTACGCAGCTTGGTGGTGCCTACGAGGCTCACCTCAAGAAGTTACATCAAGCCGCTACTTGGAGCAATTACAGAACAGAGGCCGTTATCCGAACGATCAACAACAAGATATACGCGAAGATGAATGGGCTTGGAGGGCCTAGGATTCTGCTGGATAAAGACATCGCGAAGTGGGAAAGCTTCGAGAGGGAGATGCTTGCTTCCGTCGAGATCAGTCTTCGGTCTCTGGTTACCAATCTAGACCTCCTGTACATTCCCGTACCCGATAGGGAGACACACCACAAGCTCATCGCTCAAGACTGTTTTGATACCGGCCATGAGAAGATCATGGAATCTCTGGAGCGAGTCTCGGCTCGTAAAGAGATCATGATATGGCAAGGCATTTGAGCAGTGCTGATCTATGATTCTCTTACGTACGAGCTCGAGACAGGGCTTGAGTGGATGGACCTCGGTGAGAAGTAGGAATGTGAATATGTTCGTTTAGCGCATGATTTCAGACTCCAGCAAAATCATGATACCCAAACCACCAAATTAGCGTATTTCAGTATCGTTCATGACTTCCTAAGTGATAATAATGATCAAGTATCAGTCAGATTTGCTTGCGCAGTCGATGCCGTGAAGTACAGAGCGGCTCGTCAGTCTGGCCATTGGCTATGGGAAGCTCAACGACAAGGCCTTAGTCGGCCTGTTTCAGAGATGCGCAGGTACCAATACAACTCGACTGACAGAACATTCATCCGTGTAGCCTATCGAGTCTACTTCCACAGCCTCACCATCCTATCGGCAGTGGCTATACAAGTGGAAGTCACATAGATGCCTGCATAAACAGCCAAACTTTAGACAACTACGACGAGCTCTTCAAGTCTGGACACTAGGCCACATGATTGGTTGGCCATTACATGGTGCTCTTTTGTTGTTTGACTAAGCTACCATGCAACAAGTTGTCGAGCACCATGTATCGCTCCCTGGCCGCAAGTGGCTCCGGCAGCAGCACGACCTCATCACTCTGATTACAAATGTACGCAGCTCTCCTTCTGGCCGTAGTGACCTACCAAAAGAGGTCAGCGTGAGTACTGCTTAGATCCAGAGCGACTGCGAGTATGTGGCTCGCATTGGCATCGTAACCGCAGTGAGAAAGTGAAAGACTGATGGGCCCATATCTCTGTTCACCGTGCCCGCGAAGTCCGATACAAACGGGCAGTTTGAGCACAAATCTCGTTAGACGCTTTCGAAAAGCCTGAGTTCTTTCAAATTCGCGTCATCCGCGACATTTTCCTGACACGGCCAATCCACATCTTCAGTATATGCGGAAACCCCTCCAAACCATACGTGAGGATGCCCCGATCGAGAGCAGCTATTACATGTCGCGAGATCGCTTGCAATCGCCTGGTAAGCAGTGCCGTACCATATCTGAACACGCGCGGTTGTGATGCGCGGGTCCTCGTTCAGTTTGATACCCACGTGTATTGCAGCTTTGACTGCCAAAGCCGCAACGAGCGCATCCAGAAGCTGGACCGTATCGAGCAGTTCATCACGGCGTTGTTCTTCGAATACAGCGAAACGACAAACCCCTACCCAGTCATATCAGAGACGATCCATCGAGAGCAACAGGGAAACTGGCGCCAAATCCATGCGCTCGGCAGGGCCGACCATCTGGGTACGGTGACACTCAAGGAGAACGGTCCCCTTTCTCCTCACGGTCGACTTGCTTTTCTCTCTTTGAATAAATGCACCTCTGTCCTCATGATATTTGCCCCCTTGATGGCGTTTCTCTACCAAGGTTCGTCTTTACTTCATTCTCCTGCGATGTCAAACCAGAACCTAACGTAATCAGACCTTGACCCCTCGATCGAGATCCACGAAGCGCACGTTGACAATGCATTATCGGACCAAGAAGTGCGAGTCCAATATCTAGGCCCGAACGGAAAGCCTACGACACAAGATACAGTTGCGAGATGGCACTCAATGTTCCGAATTACAAACACCAAGGAAGATCATACCACTGACGCGGCTAGACTCGCGCAGTTGAATGGCACAGGAATATACTGCGACACCACAGCGGCTCAATACGGTCGCGCCCCAGGACTGCAAGACGCGAGGGCTTATCATCGCCGTCATCCCGGTTCGAAGACAGTATACTGTGCTAGCTTCGCCCACTACTACCGCACTTATCACTTGAGAAACCTGGGCCGAATCAGTGCGGAAGATGGAAGATACCGCATTTACGCTCTGCATCGGGAGGCATACACCCAAACGATGAACAACATTGTTCATCGCGAGATCGAAGGTATGGGTGGAACCGCGTACTTGCTGGCTATGACACCTGGAGATTTTGAAGCCGCATGTACAACGATCGTGGCTCAAGTCCATTCAGCACTCCTTGACGTCGCTTTTGACATACGCAAGGTGTATTTGAACAAGCCTTATGAGGTGATCTTTGATAGTAAGGAGGAATCGGAAAGGTACGAGGAGGTGGCATCTCAATCCATGGGCCCGGGCCATACAGCGTGTCTGCAAGCTTTAGATAAGCGTGCTCCTGACACCTGGATGCTTGATGACGATGTCTTTCGGCGATACTGACGTCGAGAATAAGGCCGTCGGGAAGCAGACCAAGCTGGCAGAAGTGTGCGTAGCTATACTGGCGAATGGAATGCATGCGCTGCGGGAATGCAGCAAGCAGTCGCAAGAAAATCTTGACTGCAAACGTGTCTGCATTTGAGCAATAGGTCGATCCGTGAAAACTCAGATTCTTCTAACGCAAGTCTCAATCTGAATACCTTTCGATGCAGTTTTCAACCCTTTGTCAGGGATGGTGCTCTTTGGTCAAGTAATCTTAACGTAGTACTTATGCCATGCCGAATCAAATCCACCACACCAAGACCTCGATATCGCTCGGCCTACGTGTGCCAATTCTCTTTGTGGTTTGGATCGCGTCTTCCATCCGGTTTGTGCAGCTTTCAACAACCACAACATTTGTCACAGTCGCCAAGAATAGAGTGCTCGTTGTCGAAATCGTTTCTCGTCTGCTGCGGGTGATATAGCTTCCGTACCACGAGTATGGCCGTCAGCTCCGCAAGCCTTCTCGCTGTTGGTTTACAAGTCTCTTTTTGCCATACGCTTACCACTTAGCTGCCCAGAGCTCTACCAGTGGTTCGCATATACTTCAAATCGCTCACTTACTGATGACTAAGGGAATGATGTAGTGCTGCACGGCGACATCTAAGCAGCAATTCGCGTTCGCCGCATCATTACAAGCAAAAAGTCAAAGTCCAAACTCATGTAAAGGCGTCCACAGAGTCGAACACGAAAGTAAAAAGACAGTTTAGCAACGATGCCGAAAGCCTACATCTGTCAGCTGTGCCATGAGTTAGTGAGTTTCTGTTTGACAGATCGGAGATCAATCTATCCGTATAGATACCCAACAGAACTTCGTTGGCATATGAACATTGCGATATGCCAATGTCAATTCTGTCGTCCACGTTCGCAAATCTCCAACTGGCGCAAAAGAAGACGTCACTTAGGACCTCCGTGCCACAAAGGACACGAAAGGTACTAAGATTGTACTGCGAAATTGGGGACCCAACAATGTAAGAAGTTTAGATACCAAAGGTTTCCGCGTGCGACTCAACGTTCGACCTTACAGAGAGTCGAACACAAGAGCGACAAAAAATGAGTTCAGCTCGGTGTCGATTGCCTACGTTCCATTGCCGCCGGCCGATCCGAACCTAAGGCACGAGTTAGAAAGTGTTTTGTTGATGGAAAAGAGCCTAATGAATCCATACATATATCCAAACGAAGTCGGTTGTGGGATGTGCCAAACAATTCTGAATCGCTAGGCCACCTCTGGTGAGTAGGCAGCTCAGGAAGGACGAGAGGTTGCTCTCAATCACCCAGCAATGGCGAAGACAGATTTTCCCTCATATTATTCAAGAGAATGGCGTTCTCAATAGTTCCTGTGATTTATCTGACGACTCCTCCACAAGAACGAGGCAATAGAGTGCAAAAGCGTGACTGTGGCGTGTTCATACCCCCAATCTTCACAGGTATTGCAAAAGCTTAACGCCTTAATAACTCTCATCATGTACTAGATGACACCATCTATGAGCTCTACGTGGAGCACATTTGACGAAACTATAGCGTCTACTGTTGACTGCCACGCATCCAGGACAGCAATGCCAACAGATCTTCTCGTGCGCCAGGCGGACAGCATGGTTCAGATGAGCAAGGACTGGTGTGATAAATCCAACAGTTCTAGTTGCTCCAGGCTGGGTCGGTTTTGCTAACGCGCACCAAATACGGTGAATAAGATCTTGGTACAAGCTGGGTACAATTTCTTCATGCCATTTTAAACACCCAAATAGTCAGCCGAAGTGAGAATGCGACAGCGGTATGTAGCACTTGGGTGAACTCTGTGGATGTGTCTGGTGCGTCAAATCCTTGCATCAAGTGGGGACACAGCTTGATAAGGTTCTTGTGCATCGTTCACAATCTTGTAATAAAATGCAGTGGCTGTTTGGCTGTAGTGTATCCTAGACTCTGATACCATCATCCCGTGAAGGACAGAGATAGCATTCATCGAGCGCCTTCTAGTGCTCTTATGACGCGGGCCTCGTAAGCGATGGAGCCGTACGAAAAACTGTTTTATAAGGGCTGCGACAGATTTTCGCGCTGTAAACATTCCGTTTGGCTTGGTATCTTCACTTCCAGGAAAGGGTGTTGATGTCTCAGCTTCATATTTGCAAGTTCGGTCGGGGGTCCGCGACCACCCCACCAACAACCACGCCACGACAACAAGACCACCTCACGTTGACGGCAGAAGCAGGCGGAGAACTTGGTATGACGGATCAAAAAGCCAGACAAGTTTGTGATACCCTCAGGTGGCATCTGCGGATATTGCACTGACTAGGCAGAGGCAGTCAGCAACAACCCCTCCGCCGGTACCATCGACGCCCGCACGAACAGACAGGAGATTGGGAGTGGACGATCTCAATCGTACAGGCTGGTAAGTCATTCCATTCCTGATGTCGATTCTTCCCTGCCCTTGAAAGAGGTACTACGAGAAGGCGCCTTTCAGCCGCAGCTTCAACGCCTCCTCGCCAGCGATGAGCAGCATCACAACAAGCGCACTGTGCTACCAAGTCGCTGACACTCTTGTCCTTTGCAGACACAAAGATCAGAGACATAAATTTGGTGCGCCGCTCGAGGCGGTCACAGACTTGTGGCTGTGGCTGTTGCCAGTCCGCGTCTACAACACCTCTGCGGCATTGCGACATCGACGCACACAAAGTGGAGTCGTCAATATCCCGGGAGCGACGACTGGCATGGAGCGAGCAGATTGCTATACGCAGGCTAAACGTCTATTGTCTTCCAGTAGGTAGCAACTGGGAAACACAGCCGTAAGGACAGGGAGCCGGCAGTGTCTTTGATTGATTTTGCGCCGACCATACCTGACATTCACTGACAACCCACAGTCTCTGCACACTTACGAAGAAACACGACTCCGTTGATCATCGGAGTTATGTTAGGCGTTGCCGTGGATGTCAGCCAGGGGATGGTTTCCAGAAGACAAAGAAGGCAGCAAACTACAGGTCCGCCCACCATAGCTTCCCAGAGACGAAAGGCAAGATTTGTACTCCACCATGTCAGCGCGTGTCTTGGAGGATTGGCCGGCCTTATGCGTTGAAGGGTCGGTAGTCGCCAATACTGAATCGCCGCGAATACAAGTCTTGGGGGTGGGCGATCTAGGCGACAAGCGCCTCTGGCGACGACGGCGCTGGATAGGCTGATCATTCATGTTGAGACTAAAGACCTCATTCGTTTCGGTAGGCGGTGTCTTTAGTGGACAAGTAAAGTAGAACACAGACATCTGCGTTCGCTTCTCATAGCAAAGACATTCAGAGTATGCACTGACGGAAAGCCAGGTAATGTCCTACACGTACGGTCATGCACACCGTAGCCCCTCCCAATAGTCGGGCCAATTGAAGAATGCTGCCCTTTGCGTGCGAGCGCCCGTCCATCGTTGGCCTCGGCCTTTATCCAGCGTATACAAGCCCAGCGGCGACCACGAGCGGTACCTAGGGAACATAACAAGAAGTAGAATACGTTCGATATACTCGGATGAGTGAAGGCACAGCAAGTATCCATGAGAGAGCATGGAAGACCGAGCTGGCTGAAGGGGTCGGTGCATGGACATGGTGGGAGGCCTGCGAGGAACATCTGACAAAGAAACTCCGTGGTACGCCAGTGCTAGAAGATGTCGCGACGACGGAACGAAAACGAAATCGCAGTGAGAGCTTCAAGGAGTTCATCAGGAGTTCATTCGGAGTTCCTTCCCTTTGACTGGTTGTAGCATGGCCGACTGCGATGGCATGCTCGAGACGGTATAGAGTTCGGAAAGTCCAACGGCCGTGGCGGTGTTGGTCCAGATTTGGCGTCCTTCAAGATGCTCGCGCCCTGCGAGTGGGCCTTCGGCCATCCATTCGCCTTATCGGAATGCAACCCGTTTGTTATGTCACCAGAGGGCAGCAGTCAATTGCCTCGCTACCGGAAAAACCGCGAGACAGGTCGCTCATTGAACACACACTCTGGCGAGTGCCTTATTGGATGGCATCGCCAGCGGTCTATCGCTGTTAAAAAGTCTTGGGCACTGACCGAGGTACAAAATAGATGACAAAGAGAGACGAAAAGGATGGAAAAAGATGACCAGAAAATGGAGGAGTAGAGAAAGAGGACCGTCGTTCAGAAAGAGATAGCCAGAGGTTTGACATTCGAAAGCGATCCCGGGAGATGCCATGGCGGAGTATGCCATCTGCATCCGACGCGGCAGGTGCCCCTGACCAGTTTGGAAGCAACGAAAGGATCGACTCCTGCAGTGACAAACTGCATGCGATAATCGGGCTCGCTAGCAAGGTCGCATTGTGAAAAAGGTGGCCATGGCATCCAAAAGACACTACTTCATGCCTTCAGCGTGCGACATCGCCGAATTTGCCCAAAAGGATCCGTCACGGCGCGACAGTGGGACACCAGTCCATTTCAACTACTCTGACGCTCGTGCTGCGCATTACCATCGTATCGTTCTGGCTGAGAAACGCTTGCTGAGCTCGAAGCTAACGCTCCGGTCGCGCTACAAATTCCTCGTCAAAGTGGTTCGGTGTTTTCGCTGTGGTATCATTATGCAAGACTCCCAGAATTGTCGTTCACAGCCATCGCGGACGGGAGTGTCTGCTGCAAACAGGCAGGATTCTCTGAGATGTGCACGCTATACTTAGTACACTTCGGCCTCGGTTACGTCGGTTACAAAAGCAGCCATACGATGCCATGCCTGTGACCCCCTGGACGTTCACTGTAGTCGTCCTGATGCGGCTGTCGTGATGAAGATACATACACTGAACTCACTGTCGTTTTTTATCACCAAAGCGGCTAAACCTTGGAATCAATACCGGCAGGCGCATGCTCCCTGCCACCTCCAGGGATGTACTGAAGGTGAGTTGGCTTGTCCCACAGTCATGAGTTCTGGTCAAGAGAAGAACTCCTTGGCGCGTCCAGGTTCGCCAAAACTTGGAATCGCCTATGATCACGGTGAGGTGTTTAGGTCGCATGGCTGAGTCCCCTAAGGGCCGCGCCCTTGTCAGCAATTCTATACGGCAAAGGCCACAAGATTCTGATGATGATGAGATACACGGCCTCAATGGATAGCTGAGTCTTATGAATGAGAAGGCTCGTGTCGAAAGAACACTACGATTGAGGTATCGGAAATGTGACGCCAGGCTCGGCTCACATACCAGTCTTCCACGAACAGGACCTCTCCTACCAGCGACAATCAACAACATCATCCGTACCACACAAAGCTCCCAAACGGATGCGTAGGCCCAAATCTCCTAGACTGAAGCGCGCAGCAGCTTGACTTTTGCATAGTGCGTTGATGCTTGACAGTTCTAGGACGGCTGAGGGTCTCCCGAATTGGAAGTCGGAGGCTGCTCTCACCATTGCGGATCATAGAGCCGGTACCAATAATATCGAGACGGACGAGGAGGGAGAGGCACGAAATTGAACGATCTATCCCTTGTCTCACGGCGTTCGATTCGACCGCAAGCAGTGGATATCGAAGAGGCACAAAGAAAGGGGACGTCGACTTCGACTTCGCGAGTCTGTGGTAGACGATGTTGTCTGAGGATCGTACGTCAGCAATGATGTTGCGTAGGACACCGTTGTCTGTTCAGATGGCGGACTTTGGGATAAGACATGCCGCTGATCGGATCGCCGAACACGTGTCTTGCGGGAGCTTGAATCTGCCTTCCGGCTCTTTTGTGAGCCATCTCCACGAAGATGTACCGGAGAGCAGCGCGCACAACCATGTGCGAAGGCCTTGCTGCCGCTATCTGTCAAACCATTGACACAGGCTGGGACGCCCGCCACATACCATATATGTACCTCTGACCATGGCCTTAGATACCGACAAAGATTACAGGCCGATGTGACCATTATAGATTGGAGTTGCGGCAAGACGACGTGAGGGCGTACGTAAGAAAATCCGAAAATTCATGCTTGGCCACGTACTAATCATGTTGTAAGTGTCGAGGTACAGTAGCGGACGACAAAGCGATGTGACCGCAAGCTGGGCGGCCCACAGTATTTCCGTGCAGGTTCGACTGCGCTATGGACGTAGCGAGCGGAGATCGAGGATGTATTGGGGGCTGTCGGCCCGAGGATCAGCAACATGATACTCCGAGTCTGGTTTACAGTATAATCCCAGACAGGTGTGCTAACTGTGTTGTAGGAAGCCGGGTGCGGGATAGGGTTCAGTTGGCGGAATGCTCGCCGATATACGCAGGGAGCCGCGCCTACATCGCCTGGCTGCGCTTGTCGACAGGGCGAGGTCGCCCCCACGAGAACCAAGAAGCTCTTATGTCACTCCACAGTCTTGTTGGGGTACGTAGCGATCGTAGGCAAGGCGGTCGAGGACGTGGATTCGGCGGCTTCGGTCAAGCCCTCGGGCGACTCCTGTACTATGGCTGCAGGCTTGTAGCGAGCAGAGCTTCTGCATCGTATGATGAAGGGTATCTTGCCACTGACAGTGGCCTCAATACCTTCACCACGCTGTGTCGGGGTGACTGGGTTGGGACAGTGTGGTCTGGAGGAAGGGGCAGAGAGAGTTCAAGCAACAACCAACTTCATCGGTCCGTGCGCTGAGGGCTCCTCCCTCCAGCAGCCCAGCAACAACATCAGCACCCTCTCAAAGCATTAATTATCGCGCATTGCAAGGTCTGCGCTTTGTGCGCGAGCATGTACTCTGCAAACCCCCCTGCACGGTGCGATGGAAAAAGTGTCCTCTTCGCTGGCTATGATTTGGCAAACTCCGTAGGGTAAAAGAAAGCCCGAGACCGACGACATGCGTAGCAGCGGCAACGCGAGTTCAAAGACTCGAACAGTAGAATCAAGAATCGTCAGGACCTTTTCAGACACCTCCGCACCCTCCCACCACCACGTACGGTCCCTGTCTCGATCTACGCGCATTGCAGCGCCATAGGGATAAGAGGCCTTTGCCACATCCATTAGCAGCAGCTACTACTGCACTAGCGATGATGGCTCGCAACGACTACAGCCCCCGTTATCGCACAGTCTTCGGCCCTATTTGACATCACAAATGCAACGTCCTTGAGCAATCGGATCGAGTGGTCCTGGTAGAGAGTCGAAATGTCTGGGAAGTAGGACCAAGGAGGATGCAACTACCTTGCGCTGGACTACGGAGGCCCATATCACTAGTCGCATTGCAAAAGCACCACACCTCAAGCACCTTATATAGTTTTCTTTCTTTCTTGCACTCAACGCATCCGTTGAAGTGGTGGGAGCATACCCTGGAATAGCAAAATCTGGACTCGAAATAGAGGCCGATTATGATAGGTCAATGACTCGGACTTGGTATTTTGAAGCTTCGAATGAGACGTCTGGCCCTGGAGTCATCAGCGACCTAGTAAAGCTCATGACGACTTCGGCTAGGCTGGAGAGCCTTCACATCTTCTAGTTGCTGTATCAAGACGGGGAAAATCCGATCGTTCTGCAGAATCTTGAGCGCTTTGCAGGGACCTAATATCTGTACGCTGGAGTGGCAGATGACAAAGATCACATCACCATCCTTACTCTCGCCGAGAAGATTCAGTTGCCGGTAAACTCGATTGGCGTTTTGGGGGCATTTCACATTGAGGGGGACAAGAGGATGACATTACCAAGACGTATCATGCCCCTAAGCGAAATGATATGCAAGCAGCCGTCATCTGCGAGAAATGAAAACATTGTGGAAAAGTAGTCACCTGGCAATGTCGTAAGATCATACTAGAAGCCCTCACTCACAAGATCGCACCGTAGCGGTTATGTGCATTACACAAGCCTCTTTCATGAACAATATCAACAACACGCACGGCAAACTTAGAGGATATCATGCTAATTTACTCTACTTCGATTTCTGTTCGTAAAATCCGCTACGGTCGTCAACTATCTACGACCTACAAATCTCTATCGTCAATAATGTCCATTCCACCGTCCTCCACCGCCTCTCTAAACTCATCATCTGTAAATTTTGGCTCTATGATGATCTCCATGACATCCAATAGCCTTTCGGAATCGTACAGTTCTTTCATCAAGGCAGTTGCCTCATTCATCCACCTGCTCTTGAGATCCTCCCACGATGTATTCCCTTC